GTTGGTGATAAATTTGCTTTTATTAGTGAATTTTATTAGTAATTAATTGGCAAAACTGAACCAGGCATGGTGAGCCTCTGCTTGGCTGTTTCTGTCAGGGAACCAGTGGCTTTTTTTCTGCTTATGACATACACACTAACTGATAATGATAACAGAGCAAAAGCATCCACATGTGCTTCTTTCCACACTTGGAAGTTAAAAATCCTTCTCAGAGGAAATACCAAGCAAAATATTACTTAAATTATAAAGACGTAGCGATTCGGGGAAGAAACTTCCAAATTTCAGGAAGATACTTTGTAGGCAGGAACTTTTTTCTTTTTTTTTTTTTAAAGAAATTGCCATATCCCACTTAGAAATTATGGAAATATAATACTAATGACTAAGGCAAATCCTAAAAATTTGATTTTGCATGGTGTGTTCCTGAAACTAAGATAAGGTTAGATGTCAATTATACCTCAACATTTTTATTTTGATGAAGAAAAAAACTGAAGGGGTAAAACAAAATTAAATTTGTCACGGCATTTGCAAAATAAGAAGTTAGATAGAATTCAAAAGCTGACTTTGTCAGCCCTCCAGGAGAAATGCAGGCATAATTCTATACTTCAAGAAACTGAGGTTTATTCAATTCATCAGATGAGCCTCCTCTTCCAGTCAGTTTCAACATACCTTGATTTAACCAGAGTTTAGACCAGCTTATCTCAAAACATAGGTTGTGATCCTTGGGTAGCTCCTGATAATTGGTTAATAGTGAATATGAACATCAGTTTGTTTTAAATAAAATAGCAGGAAAATTATCAGATTACATGTATACAGTACTTCTCAATAAGTCCTGAGACTTCTACTTCAATTTGGGTTAGTAAAAAGGCCATGCTCCCACTGAGGCAGATAAATTCCAGAGTCATAAGTTTTATCAACATTGGGAAGTTATGAACACAACAATAACTAGAATAACTAAAATTCCAGAAAGGGGAGAGCCCTCCAGCAAGTTGACAAGCCTTGCCTATTTTCTTAGACCAGTTCTGATCACAATGGCTCTGCTTTGGTAAAAGGAGTCTATTGGGACAAAGAGAGCCAAGGTGGGGGACAGGGGGCACTGAAGGTCATAGTTGCAGGCATGACAGACTCGAATTTAAGAAGGCTAAAGGAGACTGTTGTATATTTGTGAAATGCTGGATTATAAAAGAGATCAGGGAGCTAAGCCAGAGAGGCTGAGGAAAATCTGTAGCCCCGTGGAGCTTAAGAGATAAATTCCTACTAGAATATAGAACTACATCAAATGGATAACAAGTGTCTCCTGCTAATTTTTGCCAGAAATTGAACTTGATGAAGTGGAACACAAAGCTAAAAACATTTGAAGAACAGGATTTTGGATGAGAAGAAAAGGAAAAGCCATATTTTCCATCAGAAACCTCATAAAGCCATATCCACAAAGGAAGTTGGATTGGAAAGACAGAATAAAATCTGTCCACAGTGCTAAAGTGACAAAATCCCAGAGAGAATGCCAGCATGAAACACATGGTTAACATTTGTGTCTCTCAGGACATTTGCCAGATTTGGAAGTTGCATGAGGCAAGAGGTGAAAGAGCTAAACAAAATTCTTTTAGGGGCAGAAGTTACTGAGTACTCAGCCCACAGTAGTTAAGGGCAGAAGAGTGAAAGTGAGGCAGCCATAAGTAAACTGAGAAAAATGCAATGAAACTAAAAATACTTCATTTGACAAGATTAATAAAATTGTTAAATCCTTCATAAGACTGATAAAGCTAAACAGCAAGTATAGAAATATCAGGAATATAAAAGGAGACAGCACCACACAACTGAAAGACTTAAAAAAAAAAAAAAGACTGCAGAGGACAATATCAAGAAAATGGAAAGAATGGGAGAAAATATTTGCAAAACACATAACTGATAAAGGGCAAATATCTGAAACATATGAATAATTCATAACTGATCAGTTATCCTCCCCATAACTCAATTAAAAATGGTTAAAGAATCTAAATAGACATTTCTTCCAAGAGGATAACTACATGAAAAGATGCTCATCATTGGCCTCTAGAAAGATACAAAGGAAAACCACAATGAGGTACTGCTTCACATTCACTTGGATGTTTAAAATGAAAAAGAGAATAACAAGTGTGACTAAGGATGTTGAGATTTTGGAATGCTTATACGTAGCTGGTGGGAATGTAAGATGGAGCAACTTCTTTGGAAAACAGTGAGTAAAAGTTTTACGTGAATGTTCATAGCAGCATTAGTATAGCAGCCAAAAAATGTAATCAACCAAAATATCCATCATCTGATGAACCGATAAACTAAATGTAGTAAGTCATACCATGGAATATTATTCAGCCATAAAAAGAAATGTGCTGATAAAAGCTAAAACATCACTGAAGCTTGAAAACATAATACTAAATAAAAGAAGGCAGTCACAGAATACTATATATAATATGATCCATTTATATAAAATGTTCAGAATGGGAAAATAGAGATAGAAAGTGGATTCATGTTGCTTATTGCTGGGGGGTGAGGTGACTGAGAAAAGTGGGAATGACTGCGAATGGGCAATAGATGTTGAAGATTCCTTCCTATCCTTCACTCCCACTGTTTGGGTAGCTCTAGATTATACTTCCATCATTTTAGTAGCTACCTTGAGTTTTTCCCCCCATGCTTTATACATTTTTCTAGCAGAGTCTAAAGTCACTCACCATTTTTGTTCTAATCATACCTGCTTTAACCACCCTCAAACCCCAATGAAACTCTGTCTCAGTGCTTATATTTTACCACTTTTTAAAATTCTATAAAAGGGTTTTGTTTGTTTGTTTTGTTTGCAACCCATTATTACAGAGAGTTATTTTTTAGGAACAAAATTGAATCAATTCTCGAGAATCTCTTTTCTGAGACTTAAATGAGTCTTAGTGCTTCCTGACACACATAGGTCCTCAATAAATGGAAACCACCCTATCCACCTTCCAACATAACAGTTGCTCATTTTCTAATGCTGCACATGAGTGCTTAGCCGGCACGGATTTCTTGGGGTTGGATCCATTTCAGGGACAGTTGTCAATGACTGGCCTCTCTTCATGTTATTGTGTATACTGTACTTGACTGTAGCAGGCTAAACGGCACAGGATTAAATGTTCTTATTTCTGAGCTGTGAAGTGTTGAAATGGATCAGGAAATGAAGGCAGAATGTCTGTCCTTTGGGAGAAGAATCATTCCGTCTGTGCTGGGGCCCCTCTTGGCTGACGGCTGGAATGCAGCTGTTAAGGCAGCTGTTTCACTGTTTGCCCAGCTTGAAAGGACACTGCCAAGTGGCAAATATTTTTAATGACAACATTTTACTTTTGCTAAGAACAACAACAGTGCATTTTACAGAGCTCCAGTGATATGCCAGACACAGCAGATTTATTACTCAGCATGTCCAAAGCCTACTCAGAACACGGACATTCGTTTCCATTTTCAGCATTTATAAAAAGAGTAAGTGGGTTCCCAAAATAAGTCTCCCCATAAAATATCTCCACAGTTTGTTAAAACAGTAACAGTGGAACTCGAGGAAATGACTATCTCTGAAAGGAAGAATGAAAATCTAGGAACATTAAAGAAAAAGAAAGGTTGGTGGGGGAGGGAAGTGCACAGGACTATGGTGATGGCACAGGGTGACTCGGTGATGAGAAACCTGCGGGGATAACAATTGAGATGAAAAAAAAAATGTACAAAATGATGTAAAAATAAACATATTAAAAAAAACTGCCCAGTGGCTCATTCCCTGGAAGTCTCTAACCTAGTTTGCATTTCAAGAGAAAAAAAAAGAAAGACTAATATATTTTAAACCTCTCCAAGTAAGACCTAAGAGTTTCTACCTGTTTGGTACAGGTTAGGGTTTAAAACAAACAATAAGAACCAACCTCCTAGCCAATGAGTGTGCACATCGCCAACTTGGTAATTGAAGGTGGAGCTTTCTAGACTCCATCACCTGAAGTGTGGCTAATGGTGTAATGAGGCGGAGCTGAGGCTTCTGGCTTCCACACCACTGATGAGGGGGAGTGTTCATGGAGAAGCCCCCAGCTTGGGGTAGATTCAGTTTGGGCCTCTGAACAGATGCTATCTGGGAAGTACAGATGGCCTGTGGCCACGTGCCAGCCTCTGAATTCACTCTGTCACGCTCCCTCTCCCTGTGTAAATAAATCCCCTTGTTGTTTCATAAGGTGTGTGTGTCTGCTTTTGGGTCATGTGCTACAATTATAAACACATGGGTAAGGACCCATCACCTGAGTCAGCCTGGTTCTCCCCGGTGTGTACTGTTTCTAGGGTAGCAGTAGGGAACACATCACATCATCACGGAGGGAATCGCTGGCAATTCATTAGTTCAGAACTTCGAACAATTGTGTTGAATTTGATAGGCTGTAAACTGGGTGGAGAGGAATGATGGTCAACCATTTCATTTAATGGTGAAGACATTACAGCAAATATAAACATTCAACGTTTAAAAAAAATCCCAATTCATAAATAGTAGTCTCTTTCAAAATGGGTCAAGATTACATTAGATAGCACTCCACCTCAGAATAGTCTCCACAGTTAGCAGCTCATGCTTTCAAAAATGCTTATGGCAAAATGCACTAGGTGTATAGAGGGATCCTGTATACACCTATAGTTTGCTCCAGTTGAAGCAAAAATTACAAGTAAATAATAACCATCATTCAAAGAATTTCATGAGTAATGCTCACAAGTCTTTATGAAGACTACAGAGGTCAGGAAGAATATATTCTCATTAAAACAAAGCAAACCTGGAGTAGAGAAATTTCTGAGGATGTCTGGGCTGACCAAAGACTTGGTCAGAGGAGAGTCTAACCTGTGTTTTCTTTAGTTCAGTAAGTGGTAATTAAATCATAAACAACCACTGTCTCGTGTGACTGTTTCTTCACATTGTTCAAGTTCCACAAAGTTGACATGATATTTTGGACAAAATCCCACACACTAGGTAATGGTCACCAAGGAAGTCAGCCATGAACTTTGTGCTCTTTCTTTTCAAGGATACAGAAAAACAGTCATTGCAAACCATGGATGAAATTTACAAGGTTGCTTCCACAGAAAGGGTCCGACAGTTGGAGAAAGAACTGGCTGTGCAGTTGGCTGAACTGAAGTCTGAAATAGAAGAACAGGGAATTCTTCAGGGAACAGCTTCCAGAGCTTACAGGTAAATAGTGGTAACGTACAGGCACGGTCTCCCTGGCTTTGATCCCAGCTCTCACGACACTATCTCCATCAGTAGCGCCACATGGACAATTTGCATTATCTCAAGCTCAGATATGACCACTGCTCCTAAGGTCCTCCTATATTCTAGAATTATGAAGGCATTTAGAGGCAATGTCTACCAAAGAAAATAGAAAAGTGTACTTAACATTTGACAAATACAATTATCTTCAAGTTCCAGAGGCTGTTATACAAATAATACTCAATGATAAGAGGTCTTTTTATTGAGTAATATTTTTAGTTGAATTTGACCTTGATTTTGATGAGGAATTTTACAACAAATAATGTTAGGTATTCGGTAATGTAAAGTTAAGATTTTCTATAGCAATTTAGTTCTTTTGGACAGTATCACCCAGTCAGACCCTAAGTAATATCCTTTACATACCTTCCTGTTTTTGACTACCACAAAAGATCGAGGAATTATTTGAGGACCCTGTTAGGTTGAATAGCAGAGTAAACAAAGTGTGCAGTGTTGAGGAATGGGGAGGGAAGATTAGAAGCAGTAGCAGTAAATAGGTGTGTTAGCCTTTAGTTTATAAGCTTGGTATTTAAAGCACTTGAGTACACAAAGCAGATTTCATGGTGAAATAGGAAAGTAATTGAACCATGTATGTCATAGTCTCTCAATTTTGGTTTCTTTGTTTGAAAAAACAAGATTAGAAATGAGTACCTTGCCAGCCTTATAAGGACATTGTTATAAGGACATTGTTATATGTTGAAAACTGTTATACATCATACACAGATGAAATGTTAATATTGTACAATTAAAGTCAGAGCAAGCAGCACCCCAGCTTGCTGAGGTACATGGTATAAGAAAGGCTTCTTGAAGTGGTTTTTTAGGACACAGTGGGGGGAAATCTCTGGATACCTGTATTTCTCTAATCCCCCCAGGCCACCAAAAAAACACTACACCTGGAAGATCTAATTAAGCCAATAAATACTTTGGCCAGGTGTTGTAGTAGATTCTGGAGACAAAGAAAAATGGCAAACAGCCTGCTCCTGGTAATCAATGCAGCACTGTCATTCTGCACTAAACCAAAAAAAATTATTGAGAACGAAGGGTAACTGTGTGATTGTCTGGTTTTTATTTTTTATTTGTTTGCTTTATGTCTTCTCCCTCATTTTACCTCATAAGCCCAGGTCTTTGAGAGGGTTAAGACTTTCATGATGATTATTGAATGAAAAGAAAAAAGAGTGAATGTTTATTAAATAAAAAATGTTTATTTCTGAACAGTCATCCCTTTAGGGGTGATGTACACACTATTGATGTTCACTGGTCTCTTTTAGAGCCTTCAGAGACACCTCGGGGTTAACTGAGAGGAAAGACATAATCTGAGTAAGACAGGGTTGGGAGAGGCAGCCAGAGCCCTGCCCAATCTAGACAATAGGACAGCACAAAATTGAGTTTCTTTGCGTCCCTGACTGCCTGTTTAACGGTTCAGCCCCCTTTTGAGCTGGTTCCTGTTTCTTCTCCTTCATGAGGCCAACCAGGATTCGGGTACCCAAGCAATCATAGAAAGTATGCATTTGCTTTATCAATGTTTTTACTCTCAAGGCACTTTCAGAGCCTGCCTCATTTTTTTTTTTTAAAAAAATCTTTTTCAACAAAGCAACAGTGCGAGGAGATAAGAAGACGTTATCTCCAAGTGCAGACGGGAATTCTGCACAGATGGCTCAGTGTGTTGCTAGGCTCGCAGGGCTGAGGGCCTCCTGACTGTCAGCTACTGCCCTCGTTCCCGGACCACTGCCTCCAGGGGCTTGGGTAGAGGGACTGCTGTCAAGGGTGAAAACTAAGCCCATTTTCACCATCCCTTAAGATTGATCCATGGGGACTGATGGGCTCATATGAGTGATATTAACCTAAATGTTACTGCATGTCCTCTTCAGCTGGCAAGGTGGCGTCCTACATGTGTTCCAGAACGACCTTGCAGTGTTTGCAAAGTTCCACCTTGAGAAAGTAGCCTCTGTACCTGGGTGGCTGTCTGTTGATGTGCCCAAAATTCAGGGGTATAGCTGACGCCAAATGGGGAGCGCTCCTCCTGACTGGGGGGGTCCCACCTTTTTACCAGACCCCATGGCATGGGGTATTTGCTGGTGCCTCCTGTGCCAGAGACCGTGGCAAAAACAGCTCCCTCGTCACAGGTCCAGGAGGCTTAAGCAGGCACCTCTGTTGTGTTTTTCCTAGGGGGAATTTTTCTGAAGCAGGAACTTTGTTAAAGGTCTTCTCCAAAGTATTTAATTTTTGACATTTAAAAGTCACTTTCAGGCCCTCCCTGGTTGCGCAATGGGTTAGGACGCAGCACTGCAAGCGAGCCTCAGCTGCTTCAATGCGAGTTCTATTCCCCAGCCCCGGAGGTGATCAACATGGCCAGGCAGACCTCTCCTGACCTGCCCCTGCTCCCCTCAGCAGTGTACTTCGTCATTCGGCCTGTTCTGCTCCCCACTCTGTCTCTGGTGAATGCTCTCGCCGCCCCTGCACCTCTGGCTTGTACCCCAGTTCAGTATGAATAAATAAATCGTTTTAAAATAAATAAATAAAAGGCACTTTTACTCTCTAATATTTGAGCAAAACCAAAAAAAATTATTTAAATAATCAGATTTTATTTAAATGATAAGATGTGTCTGTTAGCTTCAGACTGAAGTCTGAGAAGCACAGTACTTGTTAGTGATAAGACTATGGAAATACATACAGATGGGGGAAAATAAAAATTCTCACCACTATGCCCCTTCCTGTACTGTGGCATTGGAAGAGAAAGGGGAATATAGGGTAAAAGGGAAGACCATATCAATGTGGGGATGAGAAGAAAAGTGACCCAGAGAAAGATTTAGCAAAAACAAAGAATACATGAGTCCTCAGAAAACAGAAGCCTGAGGCCTTTCGCCCCCCAGCTATCCAGTATAATATGACACATGTTAATTTAGACATGAACAGATTTAAGGGTAACACATGCAGCAGGGCCTGTTTATAACCAGCTTTATTAAACTTCTGTAATGACCACTTCTCTTGCATGAAACTTTCTGCAGCTCTGTTCAAATACCAAAGGACATGTCTTACTTTAGAAGAGAAAGAGAGCTGGCATTAAAGAAAACTTTACAGGTGAGTAGGGGAGAAGGCTATTCAATGTAGCAACAAATTTGATTTTTTGTAACTTTTAGAAATGTATGGCAAGAAAAGTTTGTTCTTGCAAACAAAGATCTGATGTTATTGATAGTGGTTATGAGGACAAAATAACGGAACACTCAGCTTAGTGCTGACTCACAACTTCCTTGGAAATTACTGATTTTTCTCATGGTTTCACTTTTACAGTTCTTGATTTGTGGTGTTAAATTCATTATTTGGGAGCTGTGGTATCGCCTCATCATGTGTTGTGTAAAAGTCCTCACAAGGTGTATGCCATTTGCTGTCATAAACCCTGTCATTTGCTGTTGTTTCCCTTGGCTTTGTTGCCCACGGATTCAGGTGGCTGAGCCAAAGGCCCTTGTAGTTCAAGCAGATGCCATGCAGAGGGAGCTAGAGAGCTGCCTAAGAAGAGAGTACACGCCTGAAAATTTACCTTTGCTTCTGTTGCAGGTAAGGGTCATTTTACAACTTGAAAAGCAGATTTGGAATTTGTAGGAACGATGAACAAAGTTGGCTCTCTGGTGTATCGTCTGGCCAGAGTGGAATTTTTCTCTACATAAGTAGTTTGCAATACTTTGTATGGTAAATTCTGTTCTTTGTTAAGAGACCCACACTGTAATTCAGTTCAGCTTAGTCATTAACCAGTTGAAGTTTCTACTAATTACTCTCTGTACTGGTGCAATGAGATAGTACAACACTAAGTCTCTGTCCTCAGCAAGCTGTTGTCTGACTTAGAGAAGGTATTCTGAAAATCTCTTAAGAAAATAATTTTAAAAATCAAGAGATTTTGCACAAAGATCATTATTGCATCATAGTAATAATAGTGAAAAATTGGAATTATTAAGTATCTAACAATAGGAGAAGGGTTAAGAAAACTTATACTTGATAAAATATTGTTCTGTTTTAAACATTTTGGGGGCATAATAATAGATAATTATGTTTTGATCTAACATTAGTTAACAACATTGTGTATGTGTGTTTATCATACACATAGGACCAAACTGTGGCAATCTTTCTTTGGATGGAAAGATACTTAATTTGCTCTTTTTAAAAGTATTTTTTCAAAATTAATATATTTATGCATACAAAAACTGGGTTACAGGCCAGAGGTGTGGGGGTTAAAGGATGAGAGGAACCACCAGAGACAGAGAAGGGAGCAGAACAGGCAGATCTACTGAAATACACTGCCTAGGGGAGAAGCAGTGACAGGAGATGTCTGCTGTGCCATGTGGACCACCTCCCTGGATTGAACTCATGCTGCAGTGGCTGTGGATAGCCTCAGAGTGCTGTGCTCTAACCCCTTGAGCCACCAGGGAGGGCCCTTCTAGATTTTCCGTAATGACCACTTATTGTTTTGACTTTTAAAATTCCTTACTCTTTACTGTTGTGTTGAGTTATAACTTCACTGTGCATTCAAATTAGTTCATTAGAAACTAGTTAATTTTAACTAATAAACTAATCATAACGAAACAAAAGATGTTGGGATTCTATTTGCAATCAGTTTGTTGACTTCACCTGGGGTTCTCTTTCCTTATCATCTCTGGTTCTTTTAACTTCTCTGTAGACAGCAGTGTTATTAGGGAGAAGCACGGGGTGGATACAGGGGGTGTCTGGCAATATCTGGAGACATTTTTGGTTGTCACAGTTTTGGGTGAGGGAGGTTGCCACCAGTATCCAGTGGAGAGTAACCAAGGATGCTGCTGTCACTTACAATCCACAAGTCAGTCCCACCACCAAGAATTAGCTGGTCTCAGATGTCAATAACCCTGTGGTTGAGAAACCTTGGTGAACTCTAAGTTTCACCATGTAAACATCATATATAATGTTTATCATCTGCATGAATAACTTAATTTTAACAATTCTCATAGTAAAGATCTGCCAGGAACACATTGTTTCAGTCTTTGTTTCCTTGAAAAATATTTTTGCCTTTATTTTAAAAAGATATCTTTGTCCAATACAGCATCCTAGGTTGATGGCTTTTCTCATTTATCACTTCAAAGAAGCAGCTCCATTGTCTTCTGGCTAACACAATACGTCCTTCATCCTCTGGTTGCTTTTAAGATTTTCTGACTAAGCTGTTTGATTATGACATCCCTTGGTGAACTTTTCATGTTTTCCTTGCATGGAATTGGTTGAACTTGAAGATTATGATATTATTATTTTCATCAACTTTTGAAAAATCTCAGCCATTGAGTCTTCAAATATATTTTCTGTCCTCATTTCTCCTAATGAGACTCCAATTACACATCTGTTAAATAACTTCATACTGTTTCATAAATAACTGAGGCTCTAGTGTTTTGTCTTTTGTTCTCAGTACTTTTCTATAGTTCCTATACATGTGTAACCATTAGGTTTGTGAACCTTTTTATTTGGTACTGTCAACCCATCCAACGAATTTTTCATTTCATGTATTTCTAGAAGTTCTTTTTGATTATTTTGGTCATTTTCATTTCTCTCATTATATTCACAATTTCCTTTCAATTCTTGAAGAGATGTGCACGTTAATAAGAGATGTGTGATGTTAATTCTTTTAAAGTCTTTTCTTGAAAACAAAGAAACAGATAAAACTAACCCAAAACAAACTCTAGAAATCCAGCTGCAGACTTGAGGTTACCAGAGGGGGAGTATGCAGAGGAGAGGGGTGAAGGAGAGCCAATGGACTGTGGCCAGGGACTAGAAGTACTTGGTGGTGGGAGCGATGTGAAAACACACATCTAAAGAGGTGTGACTCTCACTCTTATGGTGTTGCCTCAGTTTTTTTAAAAAGTACCATTTAAAAAAAAAGTCCTTGTTTGTTAATTTCATCATGTACCATACCTGTTTCTGTCTCTTCATTAATTTTCTCCTGTATAAGTTTTCCTGCTTCTTTGCATATCTAGGTACTTTTCTTGTTAGGATGCCAGACCTGTCAATTTTACATAATTGTATTTTTTTTAGAGTATTAGACTTCGTTCTGGTAAGCAATTAAATTACCTGCATATCATCTTCATACTTTTAAAACTTGTTTTTTTGTTTTATTTATTTACTTATGCTTACAGAACTTGGGTACAGGCCAGAGGTGTGGTGGGTGAGAGGATTCACCAGAGATAGAGTAGGGAGCAGAACAGGCAGATTGACAAAGTACACTGCTGAGGGGAGCAGCGGGCGGGTTAGGAGAGGTCTGCCACGCCATGTGGGTCACCCCCCTGGTGGGGATGAACTCTGCTGCAGTGGCTTCGGAGAGCTTCATAATGTGGTACTTTAACCCATTGCGCCACCAGGGAGAGCCCCTCAAGACTTGGTGTTAAGCCTGGTGAGAGCACAAATTTAGGATGACACTTACTCAATTACTAAATCCTCGCTACTAAAGTGTGACCCCCTGTTGTTTCCATTGAACTCCTCTGGACGCTTCACTCTGGCAGCAGAGCATCTCCTAGCTTGCGTGAACTCGGGTAACAGTTCTCTGGTTGGTGACAGGGTTCGGACTCATGAGCCCTACTCTTTGCACGCATGACTTAGCACTCTGCAGAGCAGGCAAAGGACCCTGTGCAGGTTTCTGAAGCCCTTTCCCTGCATAAGCTCCCCCCCTTCAGTACTCTGCCCTGCAAAACTCCAGCTGCCTAGCGGCCCAAACTTCAACTTCTCTGTCCTTCACAGAGAGAGATCATCGTTCTTTGTTTAGGATTCGTTGTCCCTCATGATGATTCAGAAACCACCTTGGTTAGGCAGGAAACAAAGGTGATGATGGGGTTCATTTCATGAGTTTCCCTTTTCTCAAGAACCACAGACCCCACTGCCTGTTGTCCCATGGCAGAAAACAGTTGCTTTGTGTGTTTTGTTAATATTTTCTGTTTTGTTTTGTTTCGTTTTTGATAGGAGAATCAGTCTGGTCCTACTCACTCAGTCATAGCCAGTATTAGCCCTAGCATCAGAAATAAAATATTTAAAGAGTTGGCTTACTTAACTATTTTGGAGCATAAAACAATTTTTTGCCTGTAACATGCTTTACATTTTAGACTCCAATCTGTTCAGTTGGCAACAGATTATATAGATTTAGAAATGCTTACTTTCTTTATTTAAATTTGAGTGATACATTGAGCCATTTATTTTATGGTTTTCATATAGAAAAAAATACAGCTTTCCCAACAACCAGATATTGATTCTCCTGTTGTTAGTGTTCTCAAGACTAAATTCAAACTTTCCATTATATTTCTCTTCTAACTGTTAATTATTATTGCTGTTGTTGTTAAAGTATTATACAGAGAGAATTACCCAGCTGGCCCAGAGTAAATATTTACACATGCTGAGGTGGAAGAGATTTTGCCAGCACAGTAAGATCATGGAGCAGCTTTATCCTCTTTACAAGGTAGGAAACCCCTGAACATAGACAGTGTTCTAGTTTTCACAGTAAATCAAAATGACTGATAAGTTTGTCTATACACTACTATAAATGTGATGCCTATATATCAGATATATGGACCTATTCATCCCACTTAATTGCAAATTTGTAACCCTTAACTAATATCCTCTCTCCCCCTCCCCACAGTCCCCTGGCAACCACCATCTTATGTTCTTCTACAAGTTGAATATTTGTGTGTGTGTGTAAGTTCACATATAACTAATATCATGAGATCATACAGCATTTATCTTTCTCTGTCTAGCTTACTTCACTTAGCATAATGTCCTTTACATTCACCATGGTGTTGCAGATGCTAGAATTTTCTTTCTCATGGATGAATCATATTCCATTTCTATATATTATTGATAGAATATAGATCTTGTATATCTACATCTGTGTATATATTTCAGGTAAGATGACTATATCTATGTAAGATATCTATATCTGTATCTATATCTGTCTACCTACCTACTTACCTATCATCTGTATGTCTAATTCATGTTCTTTATCCATTCATCCATCAACAGACTCTTAAGATTGTTTTCTTGACTGTAAGTAAATGCCACAATACATATGGGAATACAGATATCTCTTCAAGATACTGATTTCATTTCCTTTGAATATAGCCCCAGAAGTGGAATTGCTGGATCATATGGTAGTTTTATTTTTAATTTTGGGATAAATCTCCATACTGTTTTCCATAATAGCTTCATCAATTTATATTCCCAACAACAGTATATAGCTTGACAAAAAAAAAAAAATTAAGTCACAGCTAAAGATGGTAAAGGAACTAACAGGAACTAACCTACTTGCCTGTTATGCTTGTGACAGAAGATTAATGGACATTTTTTTCAAGGATTTGAGGAAGGTTTGTGTGATAGAAAATGTTCTTTTCTTCATAGATTTGGCCTTCTTTGCTATAGGTGAAAAGCTAAGACACTGACTCCAGTTACCAAACATCCTTATGCCCTAACTTGGCTGGTCTCTCTCTTCCAAAGTCCTAAGGATGTGATCCCTGCCATTGTCAGTCGAATTCAGAATATGGAAGAATTCTGATAGTCCAAGAGCCTTTATTTGGCCCCCAGACAGCATTCTTCTTTATGCTTGGAAACAAATGACTAAGATAATAAGACTTGTAAATAGCCAAGTTCTGACTCTGCATCTCTCTTAAATAGAAACAAGTTGCCTACATTATGCAGGAGTATAATGATGCCCTTCAGAGAGCTGAACGATTGTCTGTTGCCCGAGAAAACTTACTTATGGGAAAAAGCAACCCTCCCAACTTAGTGACCCAGGAAGACCTGACCATTTACACAAAATGGCTAGTGTGTCACCTGCACTCACTCAGGACTGTTCACCACTATCTGCAGGTATGTGAAGCATGTTACTTGATGACACAGTGGCCTCCCCAAAGGTCAACACATTGTTTTCTTACACCTATTGCCCAACTTTAGATTGTCAGTTTCTGTATTCCATCTGCCTCACAAATGACAGGAAAAATAACACGTCACTTGTCTTTTGGAAGCTTGCTCTAAAATCATTAAGTTAGCTTTCTGAAAGTTGCCTCTGTACTATTTCACAACACTCTTAAGTTCTTGATTTCATCATCATGTTCAGGATGCTTTCAAGTATAGGCTCACATTTTTTATTTCACAGTATCTCTGTGGGCCTGATACATGCCAGGTACATATGCTGGGCCAACTGCCGCTAAAAGTAACTGGGCCCCAAGCTAGAAGGAACAGGTGCAAATACAGTAGCCCCACTGAAATGCAATGTGAGAAGAACAGATTAAGTGTAAGTCAGGGTAAAGAGTTGCCGAGGAGTGGCCCTAACCTAGGCTAGAGACACCAGAAAGGAGGGACAGATCACATTTCCACTTTAGAAATATTCATGTTTCGCCACCTAAATCTGTTCCTCCTCCTCCTCCTCTACTCCTATCTCACTGTTAACACCATGCACAGAGTGGATGAGAGCTCCATCCGTGGAATGACTCAAACCAGAAACCTGGCTGTCATTATTTCATTTCTTCCCTAGTCTGTCAAGCTGGGGAGCACCTCTGATACTGCTCTTCCCAGTCACATGATAGAACAATCTGCTCATTACTCTGGGTTCCCTGCTAACTTGTGAGCTCTTTGAGGTTGGTGTATGGCTTACTCGTTTTTGTATCTCTAGCACTTCACACAGTATCTTGTCCATGATGGGTGTTTGGTCAATGTGGTCAATGTGCAACCTGCCCCAAGGTGAAGGTCACTTGGAAGTGATGGCAGTACCAGGTCTCCCAGCTGCAGATTTAGCTTCTGATAATTGGGCACACTCCTGAGATCAACATCTATCACTTTCCCTCTCTTCTCTATCAAAGCAATGGCTTCTCTCTGGACTTACCTCTGGAAGCTTCTATGAGAACTGAGTTGACAGATACCTTCTGGCTGTGTCCTTCCTCAGGCGCTCCAGTATCTGCCCATTTCCAAAGTGCTGAGTGTAACTGTTGATGAAGTGCCTGAAGTTGATGAGAAAAACGAGAAGGCCCGTGTTGTAGACACTGACTCTGACATACAGGGTTCTGTATCTCCAGGCCCTACAGATACCAGCATTTTAGGTAAGAAATTAATCTTCATTCTTTTTTTTGGTTAAGATTTATTTTTTTGTGCATATAGGCCACAGGTGTGTGTGTGGGGGGGTGGATGAGAGGATTCACCAGAGACAGAGTGGGGAGCAGAACAGGCAGATTAACTGAAATACACTGCTGAGGGGAGCAGCGGGCGAGACAGGAGAGGTCTGCTGTGGCATGTGGATCACCTCCTTGGCGAGAAATTGAACTTGCAGTGAAGCGACTGCTGTTAGCTTTGCAGTGCTGCACTTTTAACCTGTTGCACTCCAGGAAGGGTCCCTAATCTTCATTCTTCTGGGATAACATGGAGGAAAGAAAATTGTCATTTTGTGTATGTATTGTCCTGTCATATGATCTTGTTTGAAAATTTTTATACACCAAAATGTTAAAACTTTTACGTAAACAAGTGTGAATATTTTATAATGGGGAACCAATAACAAATGCTTTTCTTAGAAATTGTATCTATATTGTTATAACTGGGGAATTAAGAGACAGGAGAAAGCAATGGGCTTGAATTTGGATGCACTGAGTTCTAGACCTGCTCCTGTTGTAGCCTCACTGTGGATTTCCATGTTTATGTTATCCTTTTTCCGTGGTTCTCTGTTTAGTCATCTCCAAACTAAGCCTTTCATATTAAGTGATCTCTAAGGTCCTTCCAGTTTTAACATGATTTTTTAAAAAAGAGTTATTTCCTTGTGCATATAGAACGAGGGTACAGGCCAGAGGTGCAGGGGTGGTGAGAGGCTTCACCAGAGGCAGAGTGGGGCACAGAACAGGCCAACTGACGAAGTACACTGCTGAGGAGAGCAGCGGGTGGGTCAGGAGAGGTCTGCCGCACCATCTGGGTCACCTCCGGGGCCAGGATCAAACTCATGCTGAGTGACTTTAGCTTCTTAGTCACTTAGTGCTTTAACCTGCTGCACCACCAGGGAGGACCCAACGTTACATGATTTTTAAAAAGACTTACCTTCTGACTCCATATGACAGTCTTCCTGCCCTTAGTTATAGATGCTTAATAAACCTGATCAGTTCTTCACTCTGAGTGACATATTTATGCAGTCCAGTCAGGGTGTCTGGAGAGGCAGCCAACCCATCAGAGAAGAGAGCGTGTCTAAACCAGATCCCTAATGACGTGTGGGAATGAGCCAGGTGAAAGCACTCAGCTGTTCTGATTAGTTGATTCATTTATAAATCATTCTCTTTATTTACCATGAGGACTATAAATAGTTCTGCACACACTAATTCAGGTCCTAAAGGATCTGTTGATTTTCTCTTGCAGGCTGACAGCAGCTGAGGGATTCTTGCTCCTCTCCCAGAAAACCAGCACCAAGGATCTGTCAGATAGGGCTGGTGAGGGGTGTTTAAAGTGATGTTTAAGACAGAACATGGTGCAGTCTATAAACACAGAAGCTTGGGCCAGGGACAGACTTACCTTCCTGTGGACAGAGGAGGCCCCTACCTCCAGTTATCTCGAAGGACTCTCCCTTTCCTCCCCGATCTGGTGTTCAATGAGCTTATACTGCTGACTTGAACTTTTTTCAGGACTGATGGGAACAGAAGCTCCTTTTGTCTTACCTCAACACACGACAGAAACAGAAGACCTGAAACCTCAGCTGAGGCGCCTTCTCTCCCATTTCAATATCCCCTACGATGTGGAGGAGCTAGTGGGTGCTGCTAAGGAAATGGAACTTTTTTCCTTGGTACTTAATGGACTCTTTCTGTGTGTGTGTGTGTGTGTGTGTGTGTTTACAGATATATACAGGTGTTCATAAAAGAAAACTGCATTTGCCCCAAAATTGGACATTTATACTGCCCCAATTGTTTTAGAGGATAAGTAAATAGAATAGTAATAGGTAAGATTTAGATTAGCAGTTGAACGTCCTTTTCATCTCCTGAATATCCAGCCCTGAAGGATTGTAGGCTTTTATTTTCCTTCAGAATTTAGGAAAAAATATAGGTTATAGTACATAGTTAATGATGTAAACATAGCCAAGATTTGGCAAATTTGTGTGGCAGCGTTTTCAGGTGTCTATAGCCATTGGATTCTCAGAAAGTGCTGCCCTGTCTCCGACCAGCAAGGTTCTTTTTACTCACCACCGTGTTTACTGAGTGGTGACGCTTTCGCTCCTCTGACACACACAGTGATGCACTTCCAGAAACTTAACTCCCATTACAGAGGTCATGCACGTTTCAAATGGAAAAATAGGGTCATGGCCGAGAACTTTAGCTTTATTATAGCAAAGTTCTTAGCCAGACTTACAACAGTAAAGGGGCATTTCTATCTCTTGGTGTATAGTATCTGTGAGCACATATTTGCACTGCATGGAGGTAATGACCTGATTGACCCAAGCAGGGAAAATAAAACTTGAATGTTTCTGAATACTCTTCATGTAAGGAGTCTCTGATTGCTCTTCCACCATTTGCCTTGACCTTAAGGTTTTACTTTCAGGAGTCTTTATTCCAGCATTCTTTCACCAGAAGTATTTCTACTATTGTTCTGTGCAGCACAGGTTCTTCAGGTCACTGGAGTGAAGGTCTCCTGTGGCCTCGAGTTTCTCTGAAGGGGACGGTGTTTTCTTTCTGGATCGTCTTTCCCTGTTGCGTTCATCACTACCCATGGCAGAATTCTTCTAAGCGAGTATCAGTAGCCCTCATTATCACCAAGTGTCTTGATAGTCAAAAAACAGCATCAGCATCCGATGATGATTAGGGAGAGTCAAAACAAATAAAAATAATTACAACACACTAGATGTTCAGTAATAACCAAGCATCTAAATACTCTCAAGGAGTAGCCTTCTTCCCAAAGAACAGCTTATTTTTACAAAGAGATAACTTGCACTTCGGATTTTCTTACAACAGTATTATATGCCATAGTAATTGTGCCCCCAAGAAAATTAATCACATTACAACCATTTTTGATGTAGGAAGAGTTTTTGCTGTTGAAGCGTTCCTTTATGGGGTACTATTTATTGTGGTTCCCTAATGCCCTGGAGATGTAAACTATATCCAGCAGCCCATTATCTGTGTTTTTCTTTTAAAGTGCCATGGGAACAAACCATGACGTTCATTTATGTGTTGTCTACGGCCTCTCTCCTGCTACAACCACCGCAGTGAGGTGGCAGCAGAGAGCCCTGGTCTGCAGAGGCTGAAACGCTGTCGGCCCTTGGAGAAGCAGCTGGTAGCGCCACCTGCAGGCCATTTGCTCACGGAGCTTCCTGCCCTGGAGACCCGATCTGTGCCTGCCTGCCCCTGTGTTAACCACTAGTCACCGGAGGCTGTTAAGTGCTTGAAAAGTGGCTGGTGGTAACTGAAGAACTCGACCTGAAGTTTTGTTTAGTTTAACTAATTTGTATTTAGATGTTTAACAGACATGTGTGGAGAGGGGCAAAAGTCATTAAAAGCACAGTCTGGAAGACACCAGCATTTATTGCAAGAATCCAGTCCTGAGATTGACAAACATTCATTTCTTCCAGAAACTTTTGTTGAGGTCCTAGCGTATGTGGCACTGTGGTAGAGTTTGTGTGTGTGTGTGTGTGTGTGTGTGTAATGCAGTATATGCAACATAAGATTTATGACTTTAACCACTGCTGAGCATACAATGCAAGGGCATTAGGTATATTCACACTGTTGTGCAACCACCGCTATGTGGTAGGTTCTTGAGAGCCACATCTGTGCCTTTAAAAGGCGCAACAGTAGTGAGGAAATCAAGAATCAGCATGGCCAGTACACTGATGATGGTGTCCCACAGCTCAGCAGGCCCCGGTGACCAGGGAGGGAGGGCTCAGCATTTTGGCAGTAGGAAATTATGACAGAGGAAGCACTGGTAGCCTCAGTCTGAAATGAGACACGATGAGACAAAGCACGATAAAGGCACCCAAGGGTTTTAACAGATCCTGGCCTCTGTACCCTTCTCGGATCAACATCTTGGTCACGCTACTGGATTAGGGTTTATCTAATCCTTACCTGCTCAGCTTACAAGGTGGCCAGAAAAAGTGAAACCATTTCCAAAGGCAGACAGCTTACCTCATATTTAGAATCCAAGTCAAAATACATATAAATGAATATATTACATATATTGCCAATCTTTAGGGTAGATATTTGGAACAGGTAACGCACGTGAATCTACACACACACACTCACACAGTATAATAATAAGCTGAGTACATGTGCTTTCAGGTATATAAATTTAAGGTCATGCTACTACCAGAGACAATGTTCATGAATTAGTTTGAATCAAAGACTGTTTCCAAGGCTGCTTTTGAAATTGCTTACAATGTGAGACTTTTTTTTTCTGTGCTACACGTCTCTCTTTTTAATTGTTTAGGTCTCCCAAAAATTTCGAAGTATCTTCATGGAGCAACAGAGAATGCTAACATTTCCAGACTATGAAGCTGGGGTCGCTAAAGCAGCGAGTTGGGACTCAGCTGCATCTGGTATGGCCCTGAAAAAGAGAGCCAACTGGACTTCCTTTATAAAGGTAGGACACCTGGGGGGTTGGTCACTGGGCAGTGAGGCCACCAGGATGTCACACACTCTCCTCCAAGCAGGCAGGGCAGCCTGGCAGCACCAGCTCCATCAGGTCCCTTCTGTCTCCCTCTTCCCAGTGCCCTCAGCAAATCACCCCCTGAGACCATGCACAGGAGCATGCTGCTCCCAGAAAAGTCAGGGCAGAAAACCTGGCCCTATGTTCAGGTCTCCCAGATCCTTCCTGCCTCAGGTCCTGGAAGTTGCCCTTGCTGACATGCCTTCTCTGAAGCTCCCCATACTCTTGCACCCCTTTCTATCTGGGTCAAAATTGCCTTCACGTTGTTAGTGATCTTGGCTACTTGATGAGAAAAAGGAATAATGCTCAAAGATGTCACTGAGTTTTGCAACTCCAGGTTTTAGTCAAAAACTATTGCACACACTATGTCTCAGGCACGGTCCTCAGTGCTGGAGATGAACGAGTCACAATGTACAACTAAATAGATTAAACAAGATGATCATGGGGAGTGGTGAGTACTGTCAGTTCTTATTATTTGTGGCATAGTCTACAAAGTTGCCACACAGAATCAACAAATACTGAACCATCCCTCATGGGGGAAATACAGGGTTAGGTTCATCAACTAATTAATGTTTCTGTTTAATGGTATCTTATGTAATATGTGGCTGATTCATTCATGTCAAACTTGTGGCCAATAACACAAGTCAGATTGTCATCGCTGGCATTTCATCTTCCAGATATGTCACAGCCTCTTGTATACAGTGCAATAGTACTACTCTGGGAACCATTTTTAACAATGAAATTGCCAACAAAAAACACAAACATACAAATATGGCACTAAATTGGCCACAAAAACCTAGTACTTATTTATAGCATGACAGCAGAAATCACTGCCCATCATCCTATGGACCTCAGCTGGGAATGTGTACTTGGGTGATTCAGAATTTTCTTTTAGATTGATTTATTTATGCATACAAGAATTGGGGTACGTACATACCAGAGATGTGAGAAGATTCACCAGAGACAAAATGGGGAGCAGAACAGGCAGATCGACGAAGTATACTGCTGAGGGGAGCAGTGGGCAGGTTAGGAGAGGTCTGCTGGCCAAGTGGGTCACCTCCCTGGCCGGGGATCATAGTGCAGTGCTTTAATCCTTTGCACCACCAGGGAGGGCCAGGGTATTCAAATTTTTTACTGTTCTGTATATGTCTGTGAATGTTCAGGAGGGCACTACCAAAACTGCCTTGGGCGTTACAAGGAATGTTAGTGACTAGGCAAAATCGCAAATCCTGAAATCCATGAACAATGAAGATCAGCTGTTCTATGTCTTGTGCATTAAGAATGGACAGGGGGAAAGGAGGGCAGTCAACCAACTACAGCTTGAGCAAATAGGTGGTCAGTGTCAGGGATGCCAGACTTTCTGTTGACAGTTGTTGCACTTGCCATCCAAGTATAGCTCTCAAGGAGGTAGTTGGACATAACAGACTGGAGCTTAGAGCTGAAACAGAAGTCTGAGAGTTAGTCATAATTTGGTGTCTATAAAGCTTATAGAGTTTTGAAATATACCTTGTTAATGGGGCTTTGCCATCCCAGATGAGTCTACTGCATCTCATGGGCTAGGCCTCTGTGAACCCAAGCAGACCCTTTCTAAGATTTCACATGTTCTAGTAAATTCTCTAGCATGGAAACCAAATCCCATTTTGGAAGGCTCTTGAATCAATTTGCTTGTAAGTTTTATCGAGAACCATTCTGTTCTATTCTGTTCTAATTTTATGAGAGTGTTTGTTCACTAGATTAAGCCCAAATGTGATCCTTGGCAAAAAAAGCTTTTGACCAAATTAAAAGAACAAAGAAGAATAGATGCATTAATGCAAACCCAAGCTAAATTTTTGCAGGTAAGAAAATAACTCTTTTCCTTTGTAGATAAATTCTTGCTAAATCCTTCTCTGAAAATTCACTTTTCTTCCCTTTTCAAAAATGTTGGCCATGAATTCACTGTGAAGGCCTTCCTTGGAACTTTCTAACCTAATTACTAAACTTCAATAATTCTGTTTGGTTTCAAAAGATTAACAATTGCCAAAAGAGCTGAGTTTAGTTCAGCTTGAGCATTGTCTCTATGTGAGATCATTCTAGTCACATAACCTTAAAATTTTATTTCCTCATCTGTGAAATAAAAATAGTGGACACAATCATAATTTTGTTGTGCCTAAAAATAAACTCACAGCACAAAACTTATCACTTTAACTACTTTTAAGGGTTCTGATCAGTAGTATTCAATATATTCACACTGTTGTAAAACAGATCTCCAGGACTTCTTCAGTTTACAAAACTGAAACTCAATACCTACTAAACAACAACTTCCTGCTTTCTCCTCTCTCCACCCCCAGACTCTAGCGTCTACCATTCTACTTTCTATTTCTAGAAATTTCAGTGCTCTTACAGACTTCATATAAGTAATGGTCTTTTTGTAACTGGCTTATTTTACTTAAGTGTTATATCCTCAAGATTTGTCCATGTTATGGGACATGTATATCTGTGTGATAGGGTTTCCGTCCCTTTTTTTTAAATGAGCATTTGTGTCAGATGTATTTACAATCGTCCCAAACAGGAAACAACCAGGATGTCCTTCAGTGAGTGAGTAGTTACTTAAACTAACTGGAGTATATTCATACTGTGGAATAGCATTCAGCTATAAAAAAAGAACACATTCATGATATCTCAAAAACCTGGAAGAATCCTCAGGAACTAAGAGTGTAAAGAGCCAATCCCATTGAAAGTATATGAATGTATTTATACAACACTCTAGAAATGGAAAACAGACTCATGGGTTCTAAGGACCAAAGAGAGACTGGTGGGGAAGAGAAAGGAGTGCAGAAATAAAAGGCCAACCTGAGAACTGTTATGGTGGAAATGTTCTATATCTTGACTATGTTGCTGTCAGTATACAGGTTGTGATATTATACTATAGTTTTGCAAAATGTCAACACTGAAAGAAATTGAGTGAAGGGCACACAGGATCTCTATGTATTATTTTCCCCTCTTTTTTTTTTAAGTTATAGCAAGATATGACATCTACCCTCTTAACCTTTATTGTTTTTCCTATTGGGGTTCTTTATGCATTCTTGATACTAGCCCTTTATCAGATATTTGAATCATAAGTATTTTCTCCATTCTGTCACTTGGCTTTTCATTCTGTTAGTTGTATACTTTGGTATAAGTTTGATGTAGTCAGATTTGTCTATTTTGCTTTTTGTATGCATTTTGATATCACATCCACGACATCATTGCTAACTTCAAGATCATGAAGACATATAAGAATTTCAAAGTAATAGGTCTTATGTTTATAAACTTAATCTACTTTGGAGTTAATTTTGGTATATAGTCTAAGATAAATATCCAACTTATGTGCATATTCAATTTTCCTATTGTTTGTTGAAGAGGATATCCTTTTAACACTGAGTGGTGTTCATTCCTTATTTAAGATCATTTGACCATATGGGGTCCCTAGGGAATCCATATGAATTTTAGGGTGAATTTTCCTACTTATACAAAAAATGCCTTTGAGATTTTTATAAAGATTGAGTTAAATAATCTTTGAGGTTCCTTGTAACACTAAAATAACTAAAATAAAGCAATATTTGTAACACTGAAGTAGTTCAATTCTGAGACTAGTTTTTTCATCTTAACCTTCAGAAATCAGAAAGAAACATTTATTCAGCACGTGTTACATGGCACTTTTTGCAACAGTCCTGAAAGAGACATCATTAGTATTCTTGTCAGGCAGACCTATTCTCCTCTGTATGGAAAAACCCAAATTCAGCACAGGTAGAAGTCTAGGTCTGTTCCCTCAAGTACATAGCTGCCTTTTCCATCTCCTGGCAGCTTCCTAATAGCAGACAGTTTGTGCCCCAAATTGATAGATGTTCATCTTTCCATCAGTGCCACCCTTGAGGGAATGTCACTTGCAGTTGTGTTTAAGGTGTTGCTACAGAATTTTTTTTTAAAGATTTATTTATTTGTTCATACAGAACTGGGGTACAGGCCAGAGATGCAGGGACGGTGAGAGGCTTCACCAGAGACACAGTGGGGAGCAGAACAGGCAGATCGATGAAGCACACTGCTGAGGGGAGCAGCAGGCGGGTCTGGAGAGGTCTGCCACACCATGTGGTCACCTCCGGGGCAGGCGGGGATCGAACTCATGCTGAAGTGGCTTCAGTTTCTCAGTGCAATGCTTTAACCTGCTGCACCACCAGGGAGGGCCTGTTGCTACAGAATTTTAAGTGAAATTCTGTGTTTCTTTGAATACTTAGAGTTTGGATGGATTTATATATCTAATGGAGTCATGATATATGAGGTTTTTATATTTTTTAATTGGTGAGAATCCACCTGGAATTTCTTCCTTATTCATGTCCATCTGACCAAATTGTTGCAGAGAGAAAGGTAATAACCCTTCTCCCAACCAGTCCTCTCTTTTCTACTCAAGATTTCCAAGCCTGAGAGAGTAATGCAAGTACTCCAAGATCATGCTGCAAAGACAGTCACACTGGCTCCCTCTCATCCAACTTTCATGGCTTCCCAAGATTTGCATCAGTGCAACTATGACCAAATCTGGGAGGATATTTACAACAACACCAAGCTCTACCAGGTACGAGAGGAAGAAATAACCTTTCTGTTCAAGTCACCACCACTCTTAGAAATTTAACTGCCAGTTTTTCAGAACCCCTCATCCCACTCGATTATCTAGCCAAATTTGTTTCATTGTTTAAAAGATTAAATGCAGATAAAGTGGGGGAGTGTAAAGAGGTGTAATGTAAGATGTTGCTGCACAGGACATGTACTTAAATCCACGCATATTAATACAAAGCACATACTCTAGTGCTAAACACCACTGTGTCAGGCAGTGGTTAAACATTGGGAGTGTTTCCCTGGGAAGTGCTCTCAGGTTTGGTCCTATGGGGAAAACCTCCTAGATGAGGAAGAAATTGAGCTGGACTGGAAGGAAGCACAGGGCTCAGGGAAGCAGTGGTAGAGGAGGAAACAAGCAGCCCTGTGGAAGAAACACTCTATGTGGTATTCCAAGTCCATTTGGGTTGAGTGGAAGATTCATGTGGAAATAGGGAGGAGATGGGTTTTTGTTGGGATAGGTTTGAATGCCTGAAAGTTCCAAACTAAGGAATCAGTGCTTTTTTCTAGATGGAAGTGATTAATGTGGCAGTAAGGTGTTAACTGGATTGAAAGACTGAGACATTGGGGGCAAGATCAGTTAAGTGACTGTTGAACACTGAAGGAGTTTTCTACACAAAGTTAATGTCTGTTTGCCTTCAATGGTAACACTCTGAAGTTGCAGTCATTATTTAGTGCTCCAAAAGAGTTTTGTTTCCTTTGCTTATTGACCATAGGAAGACTCAAATGTGCTTATAGTCTGAGGTGGGATAGTACTGGAGAAGAGATGGGAGACATACAGGGTAATTTGAGAAACTGATGACCCTTGGGGAAAGAATGACATAGGATGGAGAACCTTGGTGGAGGAAGGAAGAACAACATCACTTCCCTTGAGGTGAATGGATTCATAGAATGTTCTGGTATTAAAAGATAACATGTGGGCAAAGCCTGTGAACAGCCCTTGTTCTGTGTATGTGTGTGTGTGTGAGAGAGAGAGAGAGAGAGAGAGAAGTGGGGACGTGGGGCAGAAAACCATTTCCTCTGGTCATTTTCTGACCTGTAAATGTTTTTAGAATTGACAAAAGAAAGACAAATGTAAGCACTGTATTTTTCAAGTTGATTTCTAAGACCTTAGAAAGAGGTCTTAGAAGTAGACTTAGATGCTTGTAGATTCTAAAAGAAAAGCATGACAGAAGACATCTACTGCTAGGTTATGCAAGTTTTTCAGTTTTCCATGTATTCATTCATTCAGTGATTTTTATATGGATGATGCCTTTGTGCCAGGACTTGCATTGGGCTTGAGGAGTGAAACACCCAATAAAAAAGTGATGAAAGAAGCAAATCTGCATCTCTCGTGTGTAGGTGTCATGAATCAAATCTCAGAGTAAAGAGCAATGGGATAGAGAGCAGAACCCTGTGAGAGATGGCGGGCGGGGGTGGAGGGTTGTCATCTGAGCTGAAATTTGATCAATGGAAAGGAGTCTCCTACCAACACACTGGAGAGTGTGTTCCCAAATAGGGAACAGAAAATAACACCGGGTCTAAGAAAGGAAATTCAGAGGCAACAACCAGCAAGTTTGCTGCTTTCCTTTATCTATTCCTGTGGGTGTCATTTGTGACCTCTGGGAGCATTTCTGTGTTGCTTCATAGTCTCTGTACAATATCAGGCCACAGGGTTAGCATGTTGCCATTCTGAATATAAAATAGCAGTCAGATGAGATTGGGAGCAAGTAAACAAGCAGCAGTGGAGCAGAGTCAGGGAATGTGGATGGAAATGTTAAAGCTCTTGCAAGCTCATAACAGTCAAGTCTGAGTTTCAGCATTTGTGTCATGGTCATAAGCAACAGGGAGGTGGGGGTTGGGGGCAGGGGGTTTGGGTGGGTGGTAATGGTGGTGGTGTGGTAGAGGAGGGAATAACTTTCTGAAGGGCCTTCTGCATGGAGGAACCCACACTTCCTAGGATTGTCTATTCTGGCACTCTGAGAGAGTATGAGTGGTAATTGTGGCAAAACCAGGACAGTTTCTGATCAACTCTCAGTGAATCCAGTTCTCCAGCAACCTTTCTTGAAGTTCAAAAACAAACAAACAAATATTTTCTTTTGGAATCATTTTCGATTTTCAGGAAAGTTGTAAATATACTACAGCATTCTCAGGTATGGCTTACCCAGTCTCTCCTGTTATTAACCTCTTATATCACTCTGGTACGTTTGTCACCAACATTGGTTCATTGCTGTTAAGTAAGCTATACTTTACCTGGAATACACAGGTTTTCTATGAAGGTGTTCTTGGTTCTCTGGGGTCTTCGCAAGGTACCACATTGCACTGAATCATCATGTGGGCCCAGGGTCCTCAGCGCTCTGGAGGTTTTCTCAGATTTTCCCTGCTAGCATGATGCTGATCTTCAGGAGTACCGGCCAGAGGGGCTGCAGAATGTTCCCTAACTCGAGTTTGTCTGGTTGCACCGAAATTATAGATTTGGGGGAAGACGACCTAGAGGGGAAGCACCCCTCTTACCACAGCACAGCAGATGCTGTCGGCGTGACTTATGCCTGGGGGTGTTGCTCTTCATCATGAGGTGAAGCTACTGGTATTTGCAAGATTTCTCCACCATAAATTTGCCATTTTTCTCTAAAGGAGGAGTTTTGTTGTTGTTTAAATTAATTTTAAGCTGCCAGAGTCATAAATAAGCAGTTGTAAACTTTTTGTACAAAAAGGCATCAGGGCCTCCCTGGTGGCTCACCGGGTTAAAGCACAGCACTGTGAAGCTACCACAGCCCTGGCAGCATGAGTTCCATCCCTGGCCAGGGGGCTGACCCGCATGGCGTGCTGACCTCTCCCGTCCTGCCCTGCTCCCCTCCGCAGTGTATTTCAGTAGATCTGCCTGTTTGACTGCTGATTTTGTCTCTAGTGAGTCCTCTCACCCGCTGTACCTCTGGCCTGTACCCCAGTTCTATATGCATAAATAAATAAATCTTTTTTTTTTAAAAAGGCAACATTACTCAAATGTTAGATTCTCTTTTCACTACCCTCTAATATCCTTCCATTTCCTCAGTCATAAAGATTGCTTTGAGCATTTACAAGTATACATATGTCCCCATAAAACATACATAGTATAGGTCTGTGTTTTAGTTTTCTATATAAACAATATCTTATACCATGTGGATTTCTTTCTGCAACTTGCTTTTTCCTCCCAACAGTATGTTCTGGAGATATGTCTCTGCTGTTCTTTTTTTATAGTTAAGCTTTTTTTTTTTAAGGTTTATTTATACATACAGAAATGGGGTACAGGCCAGAGGTGCATGGGTAGTGAGAGGACTCACCAGAGACAGAGTGGGGAGCAGAACAGGCAGATTGACAAAGTACACTGTGAGGGGAGCAGTGGGCGGGTCAGGAGAGGTCTGCCACGCCAGGTGGGTCACCTCCGGCAGCAGATGGAACTCACACTGAAGTGGCTGTGACGCTTGCATTGCTGCGTCCTAACCCGCTGCCCCGCCAGGGAGGGCCTCTGCTGTTCTTTTAATGGCTGTTTCTCAGTGATTGTATGTGACAGGCCACATAGCCACCCTCCCCACCCTACCATCTCATGGATGCTTGTTGCTATCTTTCCCCCATTTAGAAACCACGCCGGCTAAACTTTCTTTCACTTGCCTCCTTGTACACATATGTGTTTCTTTAGGGTAGATATTTAGAAGTGGATTTTCTGGGTCACATTCAAAAATTTTCATGATCCTGCCAAAGCTATTCTACCGTTTTCTCCAACCATCACACACTTATGAGGCAGTGTATTTTTCCATATCCACTTTAACATTGAATATATTCAAACACTGATAATCAGAAGCTGATCACTGTTTCCTTTAAACACAGTTATAGTTCTAGATTTACTTAATGATCTGGGTTTGGGAACCTACTGGATTCCTCCTTAAATGAAAAAAAATATTTAAAAAGCATTTTCTGATGATAATAGTGGCATACATTTATCATAGAAAATTTGGGAAATATAGAAAAGTTGAAGGGAGGAAATAGAAATCACCCATTATTTTACCACCCTAAGTAAAATAATAGGATTTAGTAGTTAACAGTCAATGTATATCTTTCTAGTCTTTTCTCCCCCTGTGAATGTCCTTAAGTAAGCTATAGATACATTTTGGGGATAGAGAATGCACAACAGATTTACTTCTCCTCTAGTTATTTCCTTCCTCGCTACCTTCCACTCCACTTCCCCTGACAATTTTCCAGAAGAAAAATGAGATTTGCAATCAGTGGAGATCTCAAAATTGTCAAAATACACGAACTCGGCTACACTGGGAAAAACCCAGCCACAAGGTAGAGTCAATGTCAGAGCACTTACCTACTGCCCCAGCTGAATGAGCACAGAGGAAGCTGACATCTGGCTTCTGGTCAACCCTGTGTTTACCTGCCCTGCGTCCTGTTCTTTTAGGGGAATACACGCAATGACTCTTGGCATTTCCCGAAGCAGCCCCTGCTGTGAACTGTGCTTAGCCCCCTTTCTGGAGGATGCTGGACTCTGCTGTTTAACTTTCTCCAGACTACAATGCCCCTTCCTTTCTTCCCGGCACACTGCCAGTCCAGCAGTACTTTTTGGTTTAGCCAGGGATTCCTTCAAAGGGTCTCAGTGTAACTAGATGTCACTTTCTGTTCCTTCTTATGTAGTTCTAGGTAATTTTAGAAGCAGTTGAGAAAAACAAACCCAGCCCATCAAAGAAAGGCTGTGGCTACAAAGCTACTTTCTGGGACCACACAGGGCCATACAGAATTGCAGCAGGAGAGCACCTTTCACCCCAAATTCCCATTCAATAGAAACTGTCAAGATTCATCTCCCCTTCATGAAGTATATGCTCTGCTGTTTAAAACATAACAGATTTCACTCTTGGATGATGATCTGTGTTCTATACAAAGAAATGATAGTGCAAATAATCACCTCCCAAAGGGGGCTTCCAGCCCTTGGCTGTGGGATGTTTACACAGACATACACTGATGAGAACACTTACCTAGAACAAACGGGCTCATTCTACCTATTGGCAGAATGGAAAGCCACTTCCTGATACCCAGTTGAACATCTTTCTCTCTCACCTACTCTTCCTAATGTCCCTGTCCAAAATTTTCCTTCTTACTGCTGTCGTAGACTGGTAAGCTATATAGAGATGCTTGGGGACTATAAGATTAGGTGTATAAGCCAAGATTAGAATTGGCTGTTAGTAATGGAAAAATACAATATAATACAGAATCAAAGACAATAGAAATTTCTCTTTTTCCCCCATACTTACATCCAGGGGTAGGAAGTACAGGGATTCTGTGGCCATTTGTTCAATGGTCTCTTCAAGGACCTGAGTTCTTGTAGTTCCAACAAATGTGACCTCCCTACCTTGTGTAGCTGTCATTGTTGCATTCATGTCCTAGGCATGCAGGTGGAGACTGGGATGGGGAAGTGTCACCTCAGGGAAATTGCTGGAAACTGCCATTGGCATTTTTACTTTCATTCCACTGGCTAGAACTTGGCCACACAGCAGACACAGCTGCAAGGCAGGCTCAGAAATATCATCTTCATCTTGGCAGCCATGCATCAGGCTAAAGACTCAATTCCTATGGATAAAAAGGAAAAATGAATATTGGGGAACAATCAATACTTTCTGTCATTGGACCTGTTGGAATTCTAAGAACCAGCAACTACAATACAAGTAACTCAAAGAAGGCCCCAACCTAAGCCATTGGTACTCACTGTTTTGGGGAGATTAGTGCCACATGTCTGGTGAGAAGGTGGTATGTGCCCAAAGACAGGTAGAGAAGGCAACTAAGAAAGGGACTGTCCAGAGGATTTCTCCAGGATCCTCAAATGGCCACATCAAGAAAGATGACTGTGCAGATAAGTGTGAGGTACAAATTCTGTGATATTTCCTTTATGACCAGCTGAATACCGTAACCCCCTCCAGGGCAGAAGTGACATGAACTGGGCACCAAACGATGCTATTCACTGAGTTTTATATCTACCCTGTATTTCATTCTCACAGAAACTTAACACTTTCCATTATCATACCATTTAACTAATGTGAAATCAGGCTTGAGACTCAAAGTGACCAAATCATAAATCTAAAAGAGTTTTAATCCAATGATCTCTCTGCCTAGAACAAGAGTAAATTAAGAAGACTCAAGGTTCCAAATATGTAAATTCTTGAGAAATGTGTGTATCAACTTTTCAGAAAGTGAATCATGTAAAAGGTAGAGAGTTGTGGCGGCTGGTATTGAAAAGCTGTGATACTTTCATCAAACACAGATTGATTAAGAGTAAAAACAGTGACCCTAATTTATTTTTGAAATCTAGATTTCCTATGTCAGGTTGAAATGAACCAAGGTGATGTTCTATTTGAGCATCTAAATATACCTTGAGTCATGAGGTGTCATGTTGTGTGACCCACCTGTGATTTTGTTAATAATAGTGCAAATGTTTATGTAATCCAACTAATGCTACTTTTTTTTTTTGGTAGAATGAAAATATGAAGGAAGATGACCTTTCAATGGAACGAAATGAGAATGACTTAGCACAAATAAGTCTCAGCCAATGTGCTGATGGCTTAGTCAAGCAGAAAAAAGAGAAAAGGTAGCATAAATCATTTTATTGGTGACTTAAGGAAATAGATTAAACACTGTGGGGAAAATTGAGTGACTGATTAATATGTTGGTTACCTATTAACTCAAAAATATTTGACACTGAGATGAAAGTAAGACTGTTAGAGCAGATCAAACAACTAAATTAATGTTTCACCCCAGGACTTGGGTTTTAGTAAGAATGATTGCTAAGTGAATTTTCATTTTGTCTTTATATATACATAAGGTAATTATTCTCCAAAGCATTTTTTAAAAATAGCGATTGCAATATTCCCTGAGGCTAAGTAAAATGACTTCAGTTTAGGGGATGTGAATTTCTGTACCACTTAGAGATGAAAAGCATTTATTCTCTTTTTCTTTCCTGCTGAAGGTTTAACTATGCAATGTCCCTACAACTACTGGGTTTGCATGATGGGACCGGGCTGAGGGATGGGGATTCTGTCCTGATGAGAGGGGCCTACTTGTCCTTTCTGTATCTGCGCCACCTGCGAATCAGGGAGCTACAGGTATGTGGAGACCCAGGCAAGCTGGCTTCAGGCATCTGAAATGTCTGGTTGGGTAGGAAGGAGCTTTATGCTATTCTAGTAACAACACATGTGTAACTTTGCTCTCTGTTCTTATTTTTCCATGAAACCAGTGCCTTTCTGGGGGTGGTGTGTTCTTTTTTCAGCAGTAGGGTTGACCTGCTAACCCTAAGACCACTAAGTTTTACTCCGTCAGTGGGACTAATGAGGGGCAGGGTCCTGACCCCATTCCTTCTTTGTTCTAGCGCATCTGCTTAGGATTGCTGAACTACTTCAGATCTGTTGAGCGGACACTGACCATCAACACTGCGGGCCTTACCCTGGTGGCTGGCAACCTGATCTCCACTGTGGAAGAGAGTTCCTGCGAAAACTTGGCCAAAGGAGGTGTAGGCACCTTGCAAGGCTTAGGAGCTCACCTCTATGTCCATGGGACACCTGCTGAGCAAAAGGTGAGGACTTCGCTGGGATGTTTTAATCCCCTGTGGGTGCTGTCTCCAGAGTCTCCACCTCCTGCTGAGCATCTGGAATATCGGTTACCGCGTTGGAGTTTCTTGGGGAAGTGGCTTTTTAAAATTGTGGTGAAACAGGAAGTGGCTTTTAACCACAGTAAAATGGAGTATCCAATTGAGAGCTGGAGACTCTGAAAGCAACCCCGGACTCACAATAGGAAGGAAGGTGTGTCAGCTACTGGTTTGTGGACTTTATATAAACAGGGCAAAAAGGGCCCTTTTTGTAACCCTAACCCTAGAACATGCCCGTACAGAGAAGCCCTTATGAGGATCTCCTTGCCATTGCCAGAGGTAACTCTTTTTTTTGTTTAATTTATGCATTTGTGCATACAGAACTAGGGTACAGGCCAGAGGTGCAGGGGTGGTGAGAGAATTCACCGGAGTGGGAAGCAGAACAGGCCGAATGACGAAGTACACTGCTGAGGGGAGCAGTGGGCGGCTTAGGAGATGTCTGCCATGCCGTGTGGGTCACATCCAGGGCAAGGATCAATCTCGTGCTGAAGTGGCTTTAGCTTCTTAATGATGTGCTTTAACTCACTGCGCCATCAGGGAGGGCCGCCAGAGGTAACTTTTTGCCTATTTCCTATTTTCCAATCTCCAAATAAGAAAAATAGTAAAATAATAATAATAATAATAAAGGTAGATGAAAAAGTGAGCTAAAGAATAAAAAAAATTTTTTTCTTCTTCCCCAAACTTGCTTGACCTTGGGTGATTTTGATAGCTCTTAAAAGTATTTTCTGGCCCTCCTGCTCCGAAGGTGACCACGTGGCGTGGCAGACCTCTCCTGACCCACCCGCTGCTCCCCTCAGCAGTGTACTTCATCAATCCGCCTGTTCTGTTCCCCACTCTGTCTCTGGTGAAGCCTCTCACCGCCCCTGAGCCTCTGGCCTGTACCCCAGTTCTGTATGCACAAATAAATAAATCTTTTTTTTTAAAAAAAAGTATTTTTCTGTTGTTTACATAATTTCAATCTTGTCTAACACAAAGTCATTAAATCCCTTTCATTGGGAGTAAAATTAAAAATACCTATATTTTCTTGGAATATTATAGGCACACTTGCAGTATTACTCTCTTGGTCTCTAGAGAGTTTGTTCCTGAAGATATCATTTAATGTTATATCTTCTTTAAAGATAGTAAGTTGACAAATGTGAAAAAGAAAAGCCACCTACCTAGAACACAATTGGCATTCTAAGCTTGTATGACCCCAAATTACACTTGTCATGTCTAGAAGCTTGAAATCGTGCTGCCAGTTACTCAGAGCTTCTGCTGAGTCTGAGGCAGCAGTGACCAACAGAAAGACATGCCAGCCACAGAGATCATTTAGAAGAGTCTAATAGCCATGATTTTAAATGGGCAGGAACCATGTGAAATTAATTTTTACAGTAGAAGTTAATTCAAGTTACTATCATTTAGCATAATTATTAACATTTTACTACAGAATCAATATAAAGAGCTCATTGGTGAGATACATACACATACATATATATATATACTTTTATACTAAGTCTTCAGAATCTGGTGAGCCTCTTCTATACTGCACAATATACCTCAGATAAGCAGTATCTCAGATGCTCAAAATACCACATTTCAAGCATTCAATAGCCACACATAGTTAGAGAATATTGTATTGAACAGTTCAGCTCTGATGTTGAAAAACTTTTTGTTTTTCCCAACCAGTTACTTAGAAACCAATCTTCACTCCATACTGGGGGGACCCTTCTCTTGTTGGTCTCCCTCCCCAGTAGGTAGCCCCCATGATTTCCTTCACCATACACAGACTTCTGGCAAATACGCAAAAGCCCCCCCTCCCTTTCTGCCCTCCTTCCTCGGCCCTCGCTCCTAGTCAGTCCAGTCCAGTCATTTTGTCCCTCCGTGGAGCTAGACTGGAGGATTAAACAGGCACACCTGTAAATAAACATCTCTTCTCTTGTGCCCTTATAACACAGCTGTGGTATATTATTTGCTAGATTAAAAAAAATCTTTCCCACCAATGAACCTTCTCCCAGTTTGTTTGTTCTAGGGAAGAGGTGGGTGTTAGAAGTGAAGTGGGGAGGGAGGGAGGGAGAAAATTCTTACCCAGTCCTGACTGTAGGAAGAGATGCTTGTGGATAACACAATATTCTCTCCTACGCGCTTCTAAATGATAGGAACAGAAGCACCTGAGAAGCTACCAGCAGCTACTACTTTAGTGTGAGAAAATCAAAGAGGTAGTTGTCTGTCATGGTATTCAAATTATTATATATTTTCTATATAATTTTTAAAAGATTTATTTATGCATACAGAACTGGGGTACAGGCCAGAGGTGCAGGGGCAGTGAGAGGCTTCACCAGAGACAGAG